GAGAGAGAGAGTTTTTTTAATATTTATTTTTTAGTTCTCGGCGGACACAACATCTTTGTTGGTATGTGGTGCTGAGGATCGAACCCGGGCTGCACGCATGCCAGGCGAGCGCGCTACCGCTTGAGCCACATCCCCAGCCCCTCTGGCATTTTTTTTAATTTATTTTTTAGACATAGGTGGACACATATTTGTACGTGGTGCTGGGGATGGAAACCAGTGCCTCATGCATGGTAGGCGAGCAATCTACTTCTGAGCCACAGCCCCAACCCTGCCTTCTGGCGTTAATGTACTTCTCCCACATTTAAACAAGCTGTTCTGAGTGATTAATTGAATATGGCAGAATGTGGGGTATGATTTCTGAGACGAGATCATAAAAGGCATTACTGCTTCTCACTTGGGTACTTAATTCATTTGTTCTGGGGAAGGGCAGTCACATCATTAAATTTATTCAGGCAGTTCTTTGGAGAGGCCTATGTGAAAAGGAATTGAGGTCTCCTACCAACAGCCAGCATTAATTTGCTTGCCATGAGTAAGCCACCTTAGAGGTGATCAAGCTCCAGCCAGACTTTCAAATTACTGCAGCCCCAGATAATATCTGATGGAAGCCTCATGGAAAACAGTCAGAACTGCCCAGGGAAGCTGCGTCTCAATTCCTGACCAAGAAAAACCATGAATTGATTATTAATTATTATTATTTTTAGCCACTTAATTTTTGAGGTGATTGATTATAAAGTGATAGCTAATTAATTTGATCTTACCTCTTGTTGAGTCTCCCTGAGAACTCCCCGGGCCTTTCAAACATGGCGGTGGGCAAATTGCCATTGGGCAGCTAGAACTCCCCGGGCCTTTCAGATAAGGAGCACTTAATACAACATGGTGACGGGCAAGTTGCCAGTGGGCGGTTAACAAGTTGTTTTGAAAACCTTCTACATGTGGACAGTTTGTGCCCCCCATGAATCTTATGCAGGGCGGATGTGCGTGCACAGTAGGTGATGACCTGACCTTTACTATGATTGGCCCCGGGAGCTTCCTGGTTTAAGATAACTGACTCTCAGTTTCTATATAAGCTAGAACCAGCTTGCAGTAAAGTGCTTCATCTTTGTCACTGCTATCTGTGTGTGTGCATTTTAATCTCCAACGAACCTTGGCCTTTCACCTATCACATTGCATAGTACTGGAGAGGAAAACTGATACTTGGACAAATTAAGCAATTTGCTGATGGTTACATACATTTAAGTACTTAAACTCTATGTGAAAATACAGGCTATTTGACTTTAAGACTAGCTAGAATTATTTCTATAACAATGTCCTTCTTTGGAGTGCATCCTGTAGCAGCAATACCCACTGACATGCCTTTTATGTAATATCTGTACTCACAAGTTCTATAAAAGCGCTATTTTTTCCTTTGGCTTGAATGGCAACAGCTATAGTGAATACTGACTTCACATATACACCCCAGTTGCAGTATTTGGCCCTAATTGACCCACAGAAGTAACCCAAACTACTCTTCATTACCTGAATCCACTGTTTCTGAAAGCAAAGTTAACAGAATAGCTTATTGCTAACATTAAACCCAAACCTCTTGTCTATTATTTGTGTTGGGCAACACTTATACTAGGCCATAGTACAGAATTTATAAGAGAAACACAGAAAGTAAAGGTTAACCCACAGTAGTTGGGCAAATAATGAAGACATTATTTCACTGATTCTCATTTCAGGAAAATCACTTCCCTAAAGCAGTAATTCTGCCTCATGAATTCTTTCCATATCTAAATAGAAACAGAAATAAAAGTGAAATCATGGAAAACCTGTAGTAGTTTACTAGACACTGTGTGCTTTTAATAATAGTTCATTACTGGTAATACTTGATAATCAAGAGTAAATTAATAGGCTAACATTTCAAAATGTATACTTTAATAAGTATAATGTATATAAACAATTAGGTAAGCTTGTAGAGAAGCCTACCAAGATATATAAATTAGGAATTAAAAGTATTCATTTAAATTTTCTGTACTTCATTTTTTTGAATATTTATTAAGATTAATATACAGTTTTTCATTTGTCTTGGAAGTCCTCTACTGTAAAGATAATTCTTTTGTCTGATGACAAACAGCAGCCACAATGATTATTCTGGACCTCCACGCTGAAAAGAAAAACATAAGCAATAAGGTTAGGTTAGATGTTAAATTGACACAGGAAATGTTTTCATGGCTACTATTCAAACTAATTTATACAATTTTTAAGCAAATTACAGGTTTTTCATAACTCTACACCCTTATATTCATTGTTATGATTTCAGATCTGGAAGGGACTCAAGGTTGACCTACTTCAATTGTCCCCACATTTCTTATCTAAGAGGCTCTTCTCTGAAGAATTTTTGAGGACACCAAGAAGCTTTTATTTATGTGGTTTTTATCAGTAACATAACCTGCAGATTTCTTGAGGGCTCCAATGATGGTTTGTTTTTACAGTCTGGCCTACATCCCCATCTGTCTTAGCTATGACACACTTGGCAAGACAATGGGAAGAGCATAGAAATCAACAAATGAAATTCCAAAGCTGATATGTTAATGGTGTTTTGCACAGTCTTATGATAGAGCAACAACGTACTTGGATAAATTCCATTTCTTCTTGAGATACAGGTTTCCTTCTGTATTTCTGAGGTAATGTTTTTATTATTTCTGCAGTGTCTGGTGGACCGTGATGCATCAGCAAATCTGGTGATTTATTCCCCTTAGAATGTTGTGAAATTACAGGTGAGTGAGATGGCAGCCCCGCTGATCTCAAACCTTCTGTTACTGAAAGACACAGAACCTAATTAGAGAAATTATCCAGGTGTTGCAATATATTATTTTGAGTTATCTTCTATTGAATGATCAATTCATTCTTAAAATCAACATTCTTTTCAAAAGATATAAAGAGGTAGTTTTTGTTTTCAGTGCTGGGGATGGAACCCAGGGAGTTGTACATGCTACGTACAACTTGGAGATTGGCTACAGTTCCAGCCCTTTTTTATTTTATTTATTTATTTATTTTTTAATTTTTGTGAAGGGGTCTCACTACATTACTAAACAGGCTGTCTTCAAACTATTGAGCTCAATCTCTGGTTAGAGCTTCCATTTTACCTAGAAAGCAGGTAGTTTTACGTAAGCGAATTACTAAAATGAACATAAAGTTTGTAAAATAATAAAGTTTCTTGTTAGAGGTGTTCAGCCATTGTGGGTGACTTACATTACTTAAGGTTTTGTCATGTAACCTCTTAAAGGCCACACACGGTGAAGTTTACAGGTAATGTCTTATAATGGGGAATAACAAAGTTAGTAAATGAGAATACTTTTTTCAACATCTTAATTTTTCAATAATTAAAATAAATTTTTAAATCCCTATGATAGGGGCTGGGGATGTGGCTCAAGCGGTAGCGCGATCGCCTGGCATGCGTGCAGCCTGGGTTCGATCCTCAGCACCACATACAAACAAAGATGTTGTGTCCGCCAATAACTAAAAAATAAATATTAAAATTTTAAAAAATAAATAAAATAAATAAATCCCTATGATAACTGTTGAAATTCTTCTGGAATTAAAGATCAAGTATCAAGAGAGACACATAGGATTTAGTAAAATAAAAAACAGAAGGCAGGCTAGGAATGTAGCTCAATTGGTAGAGTGCTTGCCTCACATGCATTAAGGCTTTAGGTTCAATCCCCAGCACCACCACCCCCAAAAAAAGGAAGAATTTCAGAATCTTCTCTAATTTATAAAGGTCGTTATATTATAGTCAGTAACTGCTAAGGGTTCAGGCAATCCAAGAAACAGTTACTGACTGAATGAATAGGTAAAGGAGTAAATGAAAGAAAAGCTGGTTAGCTGGGAGATAAATGTAATGGTTACTATTCCTCATAATCTCTATAAATATAAGCAGAGGCGAATCTTCCCAAAAGATGGAAGAAGGTGCAATGGCACACACCTGTAATCCCAGGGACTTGGGAGGATATACACAGAAGGATCACAAGTTTGAGGCCAGCCTCAGCAATTTAATGAGACCCTTAATAACTTAATGGGACCCTGTCTAAAAATAAAAAATAAAAGTAAGTCAGGCACGGTGGCACATGCCTATTATTCCAGCAAATAGGGAGGCTGGGGCAAGAGGATTACAAATTCTAAGCCAGCCTCAGCAATGAGGCCCTAAGCAACTCAGTGAGACCCTGTCTCTAAATAAAATACAAAAAGTAGATTGGGGGGGGGGGGCTGGGGTTGTGGCTCGGGGGCAGAGTGTTCACCTAGCACATGCAAGGCCCTGGTTTGATCCTCGGCACCACATAAAAATAAATAAACAAAATAAAGGTATTGTGTCCAACTACAACTAAAAAATAAATATTAAAAAAAGAAAGTGGCTGGGGATGTGGCTCAGTGGTTAAGTGTTCCTGGGTTCAATTTCCAGTATCAAAAAATAAATAAATTTTAAATTAAAAGCAAATAAATAATTTTTTTTAAAAAGTGGGGATATAGCTTAGTGGTAAATTACCCCTGGGTTCAGTCTCTAGTACCAAAATAAACAAATAAATAAAGAGAAGAAAGATAGGACAAAAATTCTTCATATACACTCAATGTGTATCATTAAAAATTCAAAGACAGGGTGGTAGCTCAGTGGAAAAGCACTTGCCTAGCATGCGTGAGGCACTGAGTTCTATCCTCAGCACCACATAAAAATAAATAAAATAAATGTATAAAAAGTACAATAACATTATTTAAAAAAAAATTCAAAGACATCCTCTATTGAATAGTCATTCCCTTTTTTGTTTGTGGTACTGGGAATTTAACCCAGGGTACTCTACCACTGAGATACATGCTCAGTACCCCACTCCCCCCGCCTTTTTTTTTGAGACAGGGTCTCACTAAATTGCTGAGCTTGAACTTGCTCTTCTGCTTCAGAATCACTGAGATTACAGTTGGATGCCACCACACCTGGCTGAGCTACTACCTTTTTAAATGGGGATAATAAAAAGTTCATTTTTACTTGCATGCTACCTAGGGTACCAATCTGACCTAAGCTACAGTAAATAGTCTGATTTTAAAATTAGAATTATTGGGGCTGGGGATGTGGCTCAAGCGGTAACATGCTCGCCTGGCATGCGTGCAGCCTGGGTTCGATCCTCAGCACCACATACAAACAAAGATGTTGTGTCCGCCAAAAACTAAAAAATATTAAAAAATTCTCTCTCTCTCCTCTCTCTCTCTTTAAAAAAGAAAGAAAGAAAAAGAGAGAGAGGGGGGGGGA